ATCATGTTCAGTTGTTGAAATTAACTCTGCTTTCCTTGATCACACAGAAGAAACCAGAACATCACAGCATGGTACAGCAGTCAACATGGCTGGTCTGACAGTTGAGCTAGTTAGGTGAATGACTGCAGGATAGCAAAACTCCCGGGCAGCTCACTATGTTCATTTTTTCTCCCTCCCTCCCTCCCTCTCTCTCACACACACTAAGGTAAAGGTAAAGGGACCCCTGACTATTAGGTCCAGTCGTGACCGATTCTGGGGTTGCGGTGCTCATCTTGCTTTATTGGCCAAGGGAGCCAGCGTACAGCTTCCGGGTCATGTGGCCACCATGACTAAGCCGCTTCTGGTGAACCAGAGCACCGCACGGAAACACCGTTTACCTTCCTGCCGGAGTGGTACCTATTTATCTACTTGCACTTTGACATGCTTTTGAACTGCTAGGTTGGCAGGAGCAGGGACCGAGCAATGGAAGCTCACCCCGTCGCGGGGATTCGAACCACTGACCTTCTGATTGGCAAGTCCTAGGCAATGTGGTTTAGCCCACAGTGCCACCCGCGTCCCTCTCTCACACACTACAGTATACAAACTACCCATTCCAAACATGAAAAATGCTTAACACATCAGAATGCCAAGTACCATGCGGGGCAGCATTAGGACTGAGCCAAAAAGGGGTAGGAGAGTCCAGCAATGCAGGACTCAAGATAGTTGGACTCCAACTCCCATCATCCCTATTCAGCCAGGCCAATGCTCAGAGGTGGTAGGAATTAGAGCCAATAACATCTGGACGTGGGTGGCGATGTGGGTTAAACCACAGAGCCTAGGACTTGCCGATCAGAAAGTCGGTGGTTCAAATCCTCACAACAGGGTGAGCTCCTGTTGCTCGGTCCCTGCTCCTGCCAACCTAGCAGTTTGAAAGCACGTCAAAGTGCAAGTAGATCAATAGGTACCACTCCAGCGGGAAGGAAAATGGCATTTCCATGTGCTGCTCTGGTTCGCCAGATGTGGCTTAGTCATGCTGGCCACATGACCCGGAAGCTGTACGCCAGCTCCCTCGGCCAATAAAGCGAGGTGAGTGCCGCAACCCCAGAGTCGGCCACGACTGGACCTAATGGTCAGGGGTCTCTTTACCTTTACCTTTTTAACATCTGGAGAGCCACATGTTCCTCACTCCTTCACTGGCGGAGGAAGAGGAGTGGGGGGGAGTGCACCGCCCCCAGCTGCGCAATCCCAGTGGGGTGCCATCATGGCTGCCCCCCTGCCTGTGCTGGGCACCACGCCCCCGCAGGCAGCGTGCCACACCTCCAGGATGCATGCCACGCCTCTGTGGCTGGCACGTCATGCCCCCGGGACACGTGCCAGCCCCGCCTTGCCTGCTCTCCACCCCCCCGGTGCCTGATCATGAAGCTCCGCCACTGCACTCCTTGTGTGTAGGATGCTGTTGGTCAGGAACGTCATTTTCTCCTCTGGACAAAACCACACAGCTTTCGGAATAATTTTAAATTCTGAAATATCAAAAACTGAATGTTCAGGGTCCGGATTCCTTGCCAGAATACGGGTACCAGTTTTTGTGGGTGGCATTCCATTAGTGGCTTGTGATTTATATAACATTCTTTTATCCAGCATAATGAGCACTGAAAGAGAGCTTGCAGTGGTGCGAATGCTGGACTCTCACACGAATGCATGGAATAAAGCCTTGCTTTTTTATTATTATTAAAAAAAGAAGATGAACAGTTGTCTCGGGAGACTGTGATTTTTAGCAGTGCAACGAAAAAAGAAGTGCCTTGTGCCTTTCTCTGTCAGCTGTTTTCCCTGTCAAGATCGCACACATCCTGCTGTTTATACAAAAAGAGGAGCAAAGATACACACACAGGGTTTCATGTGCATTTTTAGAAGCACAAACTTTTAAATGCATCCAGAACCCTGCAGGGGAAGAAGCAGGGGGTGATTTTGATTTGGAAAATGGAAGTAAGCTTATGCAGCCCCCTCCCCATTGCTGTTGCTCCATTCAAAATTACAAACTCCCAATGCTTTTTTCCCATTCTAAAAGAGGTCTGTGTTGCATTCATTTGCATGTGAGGTGGGCCTTGCCTCATAGATTTGAGAAACAGAGGTTCAAATCCTTGCATGGTTTAGAATCCAGTTGGGCAGATCACTTCTTGTGAGCCCTGGCCTATATTGCAAGGCTGCTGTGAGGCTAAGGACCTTGCTGTTTGGAGAAATAGTGGGCTGCTAACGTCACAAATAAGCAGAAGGGATGCATTCCCATTTCCTTGACCATCTTGTTGAACTGAGGCTTGGAGAATGCAGTGGGGCTTTATTCACAGCAAGTAACACAGCGAAGTCTCCCTGGCTCGACTCCTTCAGCTTGAGACCATATAACACCGGTCCCAAAATACCTACATTGGCTCCCAGTATGTTTCTGAGCACAATTCAAAGTGTTGGTGCTGTCCTTTAAAGTCCTAAACGGCCTCAGCCAGTATACCTAAAGGAGTGTCTCCACCCCCATCATCCAGCCCAGACACTGAGATCCAGCTCTGAGGGCCTTCTGGCGGTTCCCTCACTGGGAGAAGTGAGGTTATAGGGAACCAGGCACAGGGCCTTCTCAGTCGTGGCGCCCACCCTGTAGAACACCATCGTATCAGATGTGAAGGAAATAAACAACTTTCTGACTTCTAGAAGACATCTGAAAGCCGCCCTGTTTAGGGCAGTTTTTAATCTTTGATGTTTTATCATGTTTTTAATGTTCTATTAGGAGCTGCCCAGAATGGCTGGGGAAACCTAGCCAGAAGGACGGGGTCTTTATTTATTTATTATTATTATTATTATTATTATTATTATTATTATTATTATTATTTCAGATGTCACTGGAAACCGAGCTGTGGCCTCAGATGGAGGCTGCAACGTGGGGGTGAGGTGTCTGGCCCATTGCTCGGCAACATGTAGGACTCCAACTTCCTGCTTCCAGCATCTCCCAGCTCATCCTTTCCCCAGCTTCCTCCCCATTGTCTCACCACCAGGACTCAGGATCTAAGTCTTTGTCTTCCCTGGGGGACTCCTGGGCATGAAGCTCCATTCCTCCACATCCAGCCAATCCCTGACTTCCAAATTGTCCTGCGCCGGGCAGAATGTCCCAGGGATGTCTGAGGCCAGGGTGCCAGGTGGGAAAGAGGAGCGCAGGGCTTTTTCCAAGGGGTCTTTCGGACAGACACACAGTCAAACTGAGCAGGACTGAGCCCTCCACTCACTTGCTGATCCATGGAGGGTGCAATCCTCCTCCCTGCAGGGGTCTGCTTCACTGAGACCACATAACACTGGTCCTGAAAGACCTACATTGGCTCCCAGTACATTTCTGAGCACAATTCAAAGTGTTGGTGCTGACCTTTAAAGCCCTTAATGGCCTCGGTCCAGTATATCTGAAGGAGTGTCTCCACCCCCATCATTCTGCCCGGACACTGAGGTCAGTGCCGAGGGCCTTCTGGCGGTTCCCTTACTGTGAGAAGCAAAGCTACAGGGAACCAGACAAAGGGCCTTCTCGGTAGTGGCAACCGCCCTGTGGAACACCCTCCCATCAGATGTCAAGGAAATAAACAACTATCTGACTTTTAGAAGGCATCTGAAGGCAGCCCAATTTAGAGAAGTTTTTAATGTTTGATGTTCTATTGTGCTTTTAATTCTGTTGGGAGCCGCCCAGAGTGGCTAGGGAAACCCAGCCAGATGGGTGGGGTATAAATAATAATAATAATAATAATAATAATAATAATAATAATAATTTGCAGACTATTTGCAGAGAACGTGCTAGGGAATCAATACTCAGCAGGATTGTCCTCTCAGCCCACCAGCTGGTGAAGTGAGGGTGCAATCCTGCTCGCTACAGGAGTCTGCTTGGCTGGTGTGTTCCCCGCAGGGAAAGCGCTGGTGAAGCACCACCCTGTAGGATTGTGTCCTCTGCCCTGGACCCTGTCCACATGTGTACCCAACCCTAGAAAGCAGCTTGCCCCACATTGCTCAGTACTTTCCCCTGAGTGCCTGTTTTCAACTCCATTTCTCTAGAACCCAGAAACGAGACTGATTGCTTTGTAGCCCCTGCTCACAAGAGCTGCCTGTCAGCTCCATTTCTGTCGAAAGAGACTGTGGGTTTTCCAGCTGTCACAAAACATTTGCTTCGTTGTGCTGTGCTCTGCCTTCCACCTTGCTTCGGTTACCAGTCCCGCAACTTCCCCTGGTGCCCAAGACAGGCTCGGTGATGGTGCCTGGCGGTGACTTTCAATTTCCCGCCCATCACTCGCAATTCCTCCTGCTCTCCCTGCCCCTGAGACCAGGGGAGGCCGTGGTGGAGTTTGCTTGGCTTCCTGTGCAGGGAGGCAAGTCAACGATTCAAATGCTAACCCCAGTGCTGCTGGAGCATATTGCGCCTCGGAAGCAAGGCAGCGGCTCACTGCAAAATGTCAGCGATGTCCAGTTGAATGAGTCTCATGGCTGAGGAAGATAGGGCTGGACAGAAAACGGGAGAGAGAGAGAGAAAGAGAGACTGGCAATGGCAAAACCACAGAGACACAGACTCCCCCAGAACTCAGAATAACATAACATCCTGAAGGCCAATCAGGCTGATTTACATTTTTATGGAATAAATACTTGCAATTGAAGGCCAAGTCATGAATCACTACCTTTTGCATTTGCAAGCTGAAAGGAATCCATCTCAGCACAGGGGAGACTAGTCGAAGCATTCCAGCAATATGAATTCCAACAAATGTCTCGGTGAAGGGGCACAAGCCGCCGAGTTCCTTCGGAAACATCAGAGAGGAAGAAAAAGTCATCCTGTGAGTTTTGAGGCTTGCTTTGTAGTAGTGAGAGCTGGAAGAGGAAGACTCTCGCGGTTTTCATGGCATCTTCATCTGCGTGTCAGACTCAGGGGGCACTGGCAGGGTCATATAATCATAGAATTGTACAGTCGGAAGGGGGCACCGAGGGTCATCTAGTCCAACCCCGGCAATGCAGAAATCTTTTTGCCCAGTGTGGGACTTGAACCCACAACCTTGAGATTAAGTGTCTTGCGCTCTACCAACTGAGCTATCCTGCAGTCAGAGACAAACTGTATGGTCCAGAGAGGTTACAAGGTGGGATGGATGAGTATGTCCTTTTTGGTTTCTTTAAGCATCTATTTTTTCCAGTCTTAAGTTCTCCCTATTTCTGTATCAGTTTGTAATCACATATTTTTATAAGTCCACATGGAATTTTGTACACATTTTCTCCTGCTATATATATTTTGTGCACATATTTATGCATTTAAAACCATTTCTAAGTCACATTGGATTATAGCCAATTTTAGTCCTACTCGCAAGTGGAGCCATTGAAATTAATGGGTCTAAGCTAAGTGTGTCCGTAATTTCAATGGCTCTACTCTTATTAGGGCTAGCATTGGATGCATTTAATATTTTTAATTTTTTAAAAAGCAGTATACAAACAATACAGAATTGAAACAATAAGAAGAGTATAATCATAAAAACTAGATGTACCACACAAAAACCACTCACCTGACCTTCCCCTTTTGACAGCTCCACATTCCTTGGGGTCACCTGGAGCCACCTCAACCCACTCTTAGCAAATCCCAGATCAACCTGACTCAACCCGAAGTCTATTTTGCCCAAAGCCAGCAACAGTCCTATGAAATATAGATGTTTTTGCAAGCAATTTCCCCCAACCAACGTACTGTGTTTTAAAATGTTAATTTCACAACTAAAACTGCATCACATAATTTGGATGGGTGTGAATTTTAACAGACAGTTGCATTTCAGTTTGCATTTTGGTTCAGGAAGCGCAGATGAGGTAGGTCGGTTTTAAAACGCAAACCCAATGATTTTCCTCTCCCGTACATCTAGTTTTCGAAGCATCTTCATCTACGCAACGTCTGGGAGGCAGGACTAGAGGAGAATGGTATAGGGCAAAGAAGTTACATATTAAATCTGGAAGTAGCAATCTCTGAGACCAGAGGCAAACAACCTGATCCAAGACAGACCAATGGGCAGGCAGGCAAAGACCAGAGCATCCCAAGGCATTCAGTGTGGTCCAAAGCAAGCAGGGAGTTGAATTCCAGAAGGTAAGGCAAAGGTGCTTATTCTCAAACCTGGAAGCCAAATGCATCCCTCCAGCCTTCTCTGTCTGCAATAGGCCCTTGAAGTGTGATAATGCCTCTTGTTTGCCTGGATGGAGATATGTGTGTTAAAACCTCTGGCCTTGCTTTGCTTGAATGCAGGCTATTGCACAAAGGGAAGTGTTACATCTGCTGTTCTGCCTACTTTTCCTGTTCCCTGGGAAGCATACTCCACAAGCAGGGAGCCACCACCAAAAAGGCCAGCTCCTTTGTCACCACCCACCACACCTCTCTTAGAGAGGGACCATGGAGAAGGGACTCCAAAAAAGGAACACAGTTTCAATGTTCCCGGGGTGGGGGGTGGGGGGGCGGTGGGGATGGATTGACCTGGGTGCCCTCACTGAGGGGGGTGACATTTGGTATGCCACCTGTCCACAACTCCCAAGCCTACCCCGAGCCATTGGAGTAATGGGAGGGGGACTGCACCACTTTGCCAGTGGCATTCCCCCATTGTCCCTTTGTTTTGACAGCTTGGGGGAGTCTTGGGAGTCACGGGCGGGCAGTGTGCCAAATGTCCGCCACTGGCAGCTTGCTCCACCCTGGGCTGCAGGACGCGTGCACCACTCCAGACACCTGAGCAGCTATCCTGCGGCTAGGAGGGCACCCTCTGCCCCACACCCCACTCGGGAGCACACCACACCCTGGGCAGTGCGGGCATGAGAGAGCCAGTGTGGTGTAGTGGTTAAGAGCGGTGGAGTCGTAATCTGGTGAACCGGGTTTGCTTCCCTGCTCCTCCACATGCAGCTGCTGGGTGACCTTGGGCTAGTCACACTTCTCTGAAGTCTCTCAGCCTCACTCACCTCACAGAGTGTTTGTTGTGGGGGAGGAAGGGAAAGGAGAATGTTAGCCGCTTTGAGACTCCTTCGGATAGTGATAAAGCGGGATATCAAATCCAAACTCTTCTTCCAGCGTTGAATGTACCCAATGGCAAATCAGGAGGGTTTTCTGGCACGGCATACTCTCCTCCAAACCAGGAGGCTCTGAAGCAATTCTCACTCTCATCTGCAACATTCTCAAATCCCTGCTGAAAGGAAACATCCAATGGGAAACGCCAGGATCACTGTGCCCTCTTACAGCCTCCCCTTTTCTTCCTTATATCAGTGATGAGAGCTTGTTCTCAGCCAGCTCGTCAGAGTCAGTGGCGCAGGCTGCACTGAGACCAGAACTGGAATATGGCAAATCCTACTTGGGATTCTGGCTGCTGATGCTATGTAACTGCAGCCCTGTTGGCTCCAGTTCTTAGACATGTCCAATGGGGTATTGAAAGAAGCTGCGGACTCCAATCCAGGGACTCAGGGGTAGTGTCTCACAATAGGGAACCAGAATCTAGCCCAGAGGGATTACACTAGAATAGGGGACACGTCTACAAAATAAATCACACACTTTTATTGCAACCCTGGCTACCACCATATGGCTCTTTTCACGATCACTAAAGTGGATTAGAGAGCTAAGGTTGTCAACACATTCCACTAAAAGTGGGATTTGGCTTGGAATGTGTCATTCGTTTAAAACAGAAGACTGATCTGTGACGGCAGTGAGCCAGCTTACAGAAATGTTCAATTTCCCATCAAATCCATGGCACGCTCATTCATTCAGGAAGGCTTTTCTTGTTCTGGGGAGTGGAAATTGGCTAGAAATATGTATCATGTGGTCTTCCTTGCATCTCCTGATGTATCTTGCTGCCCTAGGGTGGGGTAGAGGACTGTCTTCCACCACCAGTCCTGAAGTAAGATTCAGCTACTCCTCTAGTCAGATTCTGTGCACAGAATGGGGTAAGCACCATCTTGTATTTCGACTCAGACAGAAAAATGGCTTGGGCTGCCCCTGGCTGAAAGACAAAGACTTTTGCAACAGGGAAATAGGGTTGCGAGGTGTGACGTGCCCTTTTGGCTCAGTACTAAGAAAAAACAAGCCTGTGTTTGACCTGTGCCAGCTTTCCCCAACCTGGTGCCCTCCAGATATTGGTGGACTACAACTCCCAACATCATATTGGCCATGCTGGCTGGGACTGGTGGGAGATGGAGAATAGCAGCAAGCTCAGAAATCCAGGCCTGTGCTGATCTCATTGAGCAACTTTCATGCTATCTGTTTTTCCCTATATACTTTTCCCCTAGTATCACATTACCAGTATACACTTGGATCACTCTCCAGAATCCATGACATGAAATTGATGCCATGTGAGACATGTTGGAGAATTCTGATGGAAACAGAAGGGGACACTTATTCTTCCATATCAAGAACAGAAATAAAACCTGTTGTTGTTGTTTTCAGTCTGCAAACGATATGTAATTGATGATGCTCCCACCATCTCCATTGCACTTTCCTCTATCTAAATGAACAGTGTGGAAGTACCATAATTACATCACTAATTACGTTAAATTAGTAATTTATGTAAATCACACAAATAATTATGTGGATTACATTAAATAGCCAACAGTGAGGTGGATAACATAGCATCTGAGGAAACCAAACTGCAGCAGAATGGAAACAGCACTTATTGTGACGATGGAATGGAAACTGCTATTATCTTACATCTCTGGATGCAGACAGTGGACTTTGCTGCACAACAGATAAAAGGATTGAGCGGGGTTGAGTTTTGCTTTTCCACGTGCTTTTTTTTTTTTTAAAGGGAGAGCAATGGGTGAAAGAAAAATGTGAGTGTCCTCTAGAAGAACCTCAATAAAACAACATAACACACATAACACTGCGTTAGCGTGACAGCATACACTCATTGTGCCATTAGGTTCTAATGTAATACACTTGCAGTGTTGTAGCGTAACACGGATCACTCAGCACTTTATGGCATTAGCAGAAAGGATTGCTGAAGGCGTAATAACCATGCCTTAATAGCATCAGGCACAAAGGCGTGAGCCATATTTTACAAAAAGGAAGAGGAAAAGAAGCAAATGCTCCAACTGTACAGGTCAGATCTCTAATCAGCTAGATTAACTCCTTGGATGGACAGAAATCTGCTGGCATTTCTTCCCCAGCTGAGCCCGGTTTTAAAAAGAGGTGTACTTTCTTTTGTCTGTCTTGAATCTTCCAACATTTCCGTCCTATCTCACACGTAGACCTCAGGACTAATTAGCTTCAAAACCAGAACCATCACAGATTAATACATCAATAATCATTGAAGAGGGATGCGGGTGGCACTGTGGTCTAAACCACTGAGCCTCTTGGGCTTGCCGATCGGAAGGTCAGCAGTTCAGATCCCCACGATGGGGTGAGCTCCCGTTGCTCGGCCCCAGCTCCTGCCAACCTAGCAGTTTGAAAGCACGTTCAAGTGCAAGTAGATAAATAGGTACCGCTCCAGCGGGAAGGTAAATGGAGTTCCCATGCGCTGCTCTGGTTTCGCCAGAAGTGGCTTAGTCATGCTGGCCACATGACCCAGAAAAACTGTCTGCAGACAAACGTTGGCTCCCTCGGCCAGTAAAGTGAGATGAGCGCCGCAACCCCAGAGTCGTTCGCGACCGGACTTAACTTTCAGGGGTCCTTTACCTTTTTAATCATTGAAGAAAATATTTTGGTCAAAATGCATTGGGATTTACAATATTGAGACAAAACATTTTCATTTAAGTTTGTTTCATTTGAATATATTTACGTTGGTGTTGTAAACGTTCATTACTAAATTAGTGTTTTATCACTTTATTTCCCCCCCCCCCCCGATTCTAATTTGTTTGTTACCATTAGCAGGCGAACTGCATTGCAAATTTCAGAGGAGTGTGGGTTCTGAAGGGCAACTGTGTGTTGGTTCATGTACTGGTCCGGAAATAGGCAGGTGGGCATAAGAAACGTGAACCAAACACATTTCTCCTGCATTTGGAAGCAATAGGGGGTGATTCTGAGCTCCAAAATCTAGAGAGAACTGGAGGTGAGGATTTCAAAGTCACCCCAAACCTCAGACCTGGTAAGGACATGAGAGCAAGACT